GAGAGCAGTGGCTTTTGAGAGTCTGTGTGTCCCGTGAAATGTTGGTATGTTTCTCCATAGATGCCAATATCTGCACCCTTTTTCAGCAGGTGTGTGTAGACGAGTGTGTCGTCGATGGAGGTGTACACGTGAGCGTCATCGTCTTCGTGTGTTTTCGGGGGTCCGTTGTATCCTGGCAGGAAGTTGATGCCATTTGGATTATAGACAGAGACTTCGTGATTGAGCTTCTTCTTCTTCTTCCTGTTTGGCAGAAAAGAAGATCGGAGTTTTTTTTAATGAAATTACTGATAAATTATGCTCGCTATTCTGTCCCTCCTGTTATTTCTAAAGGTATGTTTTTTATAAGTTTGTTATATGGCGGGTCATAATCATTCATTCTGTAATTAACTGTTGCAACGTGTCAGAAAATATGTTTATTCCTGATCAAAGCCTGCCATCTAGTGGGTTGACAGGGAAGCGCCATGTTAGAGTGCAAGCAGTGGTTTTCTCCCAGCGCTCGACAGGGAAGGTCTATTTCTCTGTCTCTCTGTAATTTCCTGCATCTGGCTCCCTTGAAAAGGCATAATCTGTAAGTGTGGCAAAACGGTTTATTGTTCTCACTTATTAGTACCTTGTTTAGCAAAGTAACGAGTTTCTTGTGTGTTTAGTGAGTTTGTTACATTACCAGCATAAGCTAGCTGTTAGCCCTTTCTTTAGCCTGCTAACATGAAGCATACCAGCATGTGGTGTTAGCTGTATCTCTTGACATGTGTTGATACTGAGATTGTGTAGTGACTGTTTACACAAGTCAACAATATTTGTATTTGTATGGAGAGTGAATATGTATTCTGTTTCTGTTATTACAGTTTTACAAAAAGAAAAATAAGGATCAGTAAAGCTCTGAAGAATGCCACGTGGTCTCCTGAGTGTTTACTGAAGCCATTTAATGTTTAGCTCTCTGCATAAGCTGGATAGAGACATTCAGCTGAGGGCAGAAGACTCGCTGTCAATTTCAACGGAGGACAAAAATTTCTAGCAGGTTGAGGAGAGCAGATAAGTAAACAATGTGAAAATACCCATGTTAACTGTAAAGAAAAATAATAAAACTCAAAGAACAAAACATAAAAAAAGAGTAATACTCACCTAATCACCACACAGACCACAACCAGCACCATTACAAAAATGACCAGCAGAGCAGCCACCACACTCAGGATGTTGATTAGTAAAAGGTCTAGAAAGAAAAAATGGCAACAAACAGCATAGTTAGCTTTTTCTATCACATTTTTAGCTGATATTGACAGACGGATGGTGGACGCTCCTGCAGTGATGCAGACACTGCATCAATCCGTTGTGGTAATGAGAGCTGAGTATGACAGCAAGGCTCTCGATTTACCGGTTGATCTAAATGGTAAATGGCCTGTATTTGTATAGCGCTTTTACTAGTCCCCTCTAGGGACCCCAAAGCGCTTTACACACCCAGTCATCCACCCATTCACACAC